GGAAAGAATTTATTTTTCAGGAAGAACGCAGCTTGCAAAATTTGAAAAGATCTGGACTAAATGGAAAAATTTACTGAGGTAAATTTTCCAGAACTTGTGTGACTCTGCTTTAGTTGTAATTTAGAATATTTATATGTTAAATATACAAAACCTCTCATTTTAATTTTTTCTCTTCCTTTTCATGTAAGTTTATTTATCCACGTTTAATTTGTTTAAACAAACAAACAAAAAATCTGGACCTGACGTTTGGCCTGCAGACCAGATGTCAGCTGGGCCAGGAGGCATCTGAAGGACCAGGAGAGACGACAGGATCTCAAACTCATCCTCACCACAGAACTGAGTCCTGGAAAAACCAGGCCCACCATAAATAAGAATTAATGTACTGATCCACACCGGATCAGTTCTAAAGTCCAGCAGAATACATCAGAACTGTGCTGTTTGTCCTTCATCTGTTCCTGTCAGGTCAGAACCAGGTCCACATTCAGGCTGAGAGGACCAGAAAACGGCCTGCAGATGACTCTTGTCTCTAAAACCTGTGCAGAGACATTGGAGGACAAGGACAACTCTGGATGTCCTCATTGGAGACACGTCTCCCTGCAGCCCGGTCCGAGGACGATGTCACGCAGACGTTGTTGTTGCCACGGCCATCGAAAAATTAAATGTCTGCAGGAATGTTGACGTGCAGCGCCTGAAACTTTTTATTTTCTTCTTTCTAAACTTCATTTAATTCATTTATTATTCACCACTTGCTCTTGCAGAGATCGGATGCTTCACCCCTCCCTCCCCGCTTTGCTGCTCTGTCTGTCTGTGAAACTGCTTGTGAGACTCTCTTGCGTTTCTTCCAAACCATAATTATGGACTTGTTTTGATCAGCTGGTCCCTCAACTCAATTTACAACATTTCTTTGAAGAGAAGACGGGCTTTAGGCGAGCCGATTTGCCCTGTTGGCACGCACGCAGCTGGATATCTCATCGACTGGAAGACGATGATGTGTCTATCTCTGCTGCCATTTGTGGATTTTAAGGACGCATATTTAATTGGATTTACGATAACTGGTTCCTGCTTTTTGGATTCGGCTGGTTGCTGGTTTATCTACAATCAAGGAAGTCGTCGGCAGCAAATTTGGACCCGATCATGCTGCTTGCCTTTATGATGGCTTGGTTCGTGTCTCGAGTACCCAGACTCAACTGCTTTGGGCTGAATGGATCAGATCTTGGGGATTTTACTCAGTCACATTCCATTGGTGTGGCCATGTATTCTGGATATTTCGGAACAGAGTCGACCAACACAGACTCAAGGTAGATGTCATTAAGTTCTGCCTGTCCCCAAAACAACTGTGTGTTTATCTGAATTTGGCTCCCCTGGCTGGCCTTGAAGGCCATCTCATCTGAATTTGCCTGGAGAACATGTGATCTGACGCTCACCACCCCCTCCCTGAGGAATTTCCAACTGATAACCAGATGAAACCAGCTGAATAAACTTGTGTCATCATTTCAGGACTTTTGGATTCTCATAGACATTATTCTTGGCCATTCCTCGACATCCCTTGAGAATGTTTATGGATCTCAATGGAGGACATTGGCTGATTATTACATCCTTATCAGAACTCTTACAGTGCCCTTTATATAATACCTGGTCATTTATTTATTGAGGAAAATGATCCAATATTACATATTTGTGAGTAGCAAAAGTATGTGAACCTTTGCAGAAATATAAAAAATCATAAATGCTTCACAAACTTTCAAGCACCGCTGTATTTATTATAAATATGACACGCTATATGTTTATCTTTAATTGTTTAATAAGTGCTATTACATAAAATAAAGTAATACGAGTTACGCATGTTTGCGATCGTTTGCTATAAAGGGTTCTGTTTGTGTAAACCTTGAAAGGGAACAAAGACTAAAAATGTGAAGCAGCTCCGGTTCTGTCAGGTATTAAAGTTTCGCTGACGTTAAGGTCAGGCGTGACTTGTCTGTGTGCGCAAGTGTTGATGTGCAGGAAGTTAGTTTATAACTGAAGGTTGAGAGATGAACGACACGTGGACGGATTTATTTGATCAAACCCAACGCATCGGCCCTGAAAGGCTTTTCTCTCACATCCGTCCGTTAAAAGCAGAGCTGATGATTCATTCAGCCTCTTCATCGCTCACACGAGTCAAGGACTTCCTGTCAGAAAGAAACTCTGCATCAGGCGGCGTCTCTCAGAACTTTTTATTTCCCATGCATAGTTTGGACACGAGTGTAGTGGAGCTGAAAAGAACATAAACCTTAAAATAAAAAAAGAAGAAGTGAAAGTGTTGACATTCATTGTGATTTTCTCCATCATAGGCAAAAGAATCATTTCAGAAAAAAAAACCATGATGAAAATCTAATAAAAACATTTGAGTGAAGGTTCAAATCTTTCAGAGTCCTTCAAGGAAAGCGACGACGCGATCAGAAAGAAAAAGTGCTGCGTAACGACAAAAACAGAGCTCAAACTGAAACTTTCAGGACGTTTCTGCACCACGGCGCAAAACGGAAGACGGTCCTCAACGTGGGACTGGATGACATCACATGTGACCAATCAGCACCTGGTCTGTTGTCTCGAAGGCCAGAGGTCACTTCCTGTTGACACACGTACCGGTTTAAAGATGTGACTGAAATAAAGAGAGCCATCAGATCTAAACCGAGGTGTCGGTCAACGAAGGACCCACTTTGATTCTGAAGGTTCCTTTTGACCTGAAATATTTACGATGGTCTTATCGTGTGGAGGATCCAGAGAAAACGGGTGATGGTGAACAGAGGAGGATGCTGGGATACGGTGAGCTGGAAGCAGATTGGACCAGCAGGGAGCAGACTGAGGAGGAAGTAATCACAGCTCAGCGTTTAAATAAAAGTATCTGATTTGAAGATCAAACCCCCCCCCCCCCCGCCCCCCTCAATTATCTTCCACTAACACACACCAATGAGCTGAAGTGGTCCAGGGAGTCTGATGCGTTTAGTTTGGAACTGGCTGCCTTTAAATTCACCTGAAGAATCAACCGGGCTTCAGTTAGAACTCCTCTGGCCTCGGAGGAACCAAATGGGAACCTTGTCTGATAGAGCTTTAACAGTGGAGGACTTTGCAGGAGGAGGTTTAGATGATGCAGCCAAGCCCAGGGGTCCAGATTCAGGTCTCGGTACAGCTTCAGAATCTGGATAAATCAAACGGTACCGGACCTTTTTGGCTCAGTTATCGGCTCGGTTCTGATTCTAAATATAATTTTACAGTAGCAGGTTGGCTGCAGATAAAATAAGCCGATATACGTAATGCTGAATTTTGTCTTTAACATTTGTAAAACCAACATTCTGGCAGAAAGATGGCAAAGTTTTAAAAACCTTCATCAAATAACGGCTGTTCTTCACGTCTGCAGCGGCTCGGAAATGTTTTAAAACTGGAAGAAACATGGTCCGAAATCCAGTTTACTGTTAGGAGCTGATCATTTAGTTGTTTTCTGTAAGAAAAGGCAGGTCCCCCATTCACCACGTTACTACAGGAGCTCAGAGAGGACATTCTGGATCCGTTCTTTATAGCCACTAGATGTGACCAAACCCACATATTGGACCATTAAATTATGCTAAAAAGAGCAAAGCTCTTTCTTCTTGTCAGAAGCTCAGAGGACATTTATTTACAGGACGCCTGCGTGTCGGGTTCTGCTGAAGGTCTGATCTACGTTTGAGCTTCAGGCCGGCCCTCCTCAGCGAGTCCTGAGGTCTCACGAGCAGAAAATAAGTATTTTACAGTTTCAGCTAACACTGTTCTGCTGCATGAGAGCTAATGCTAACATGTGAGCTAATGCTAACATGTGCGCTAACGCTAACATGTAAGCTAAAGCTAACATGTGAGCTAACGCTAACATGTGAGCCAATGCTAACATGTGAGATAACGCTAACATGTAAGCTAAAGCTAACATGTGAGCTAATGCTAACATGTGAGATAACGCTATGCTAACATGTGAGCTAACTCTAACTTGAGAGCGTTTACTGCTGTGCCTTCATTACCCACCAAAAAACCCCAAAACATTAAAAATAAATAAATCATCAAGATAAAAGTTTAAGAACGACTGGGTGGAAATGTGGACTCTGGAACCTAAAACCTGCAGGCGAAGTCGCTGCAATCTTATTGCAACAAACGCAGCGCTAACAAAATGCTAACGGGATAATAAAGCCCAGCGTGATCCCAGTGGTTACCATGAGAAGATATTACATATCTACATTTAGAAAAGTCACTTCAACACATCCAGATCCAAAACACTCCTTCCAACAGTATGAAAATATACAAATAAAAAATACGAACACTCTCAGACACAAGGTAGGTAGTTTTCTGTTGACGTGAAATCAGTGAGGACTAAAAGATAAATAGTTCACATTTTGTCTCCCTTGCTTTTTGAAGAGAAATAAAAAGTTGTGTGTGAAAGAAAAACGAACATCCTTCACTAATTAGTAACATCATGACACCGCTCGGGTTTTCAGCTGAAGAGCCCCTCGAGTCAGAGAAAGAGCCAGTGTTGAAACCAAAGCATCATAAAATCCGTTTCTCAGACATCATACATTATGCACAGAGTAAAAACATTAACCATCAAACCTGTCCACGTCAGAGGAACGAGTTCTCTGCTCAGGCCTGAAGAAGCTCAGGAAAGGACTAAAGATTCTTCATCATGGTGTGAGTCTAATTAAAAAGCTAACAGAGACTGTCAGAAGGCTGTTTTTAACGTCTCGACGCACCGCCACGAAGACGGGGGACAGTCTGTGGGACGGGGACACATCTGTGTGTGCAGGTAGCGTCCGTCTCAGCTCTTAGTGTGCGACAAACTTTGACCCATCGGAGGAAGATCGGTTCGTAACACCACCTTGCAGCAGACGAGGCATCGCGCACCGCCAGGTGAGTAACAGTCATTGGATCTGGCACCGCCAGGAGGCGGAGCTTCTCCATTACACTAAACCTTCACTTGGAAAGAGTCGGGGGAGGAGTCACAGAGCTCACTTCACGTGCTCGGCACTGTGGGAGGAGCAGTAGTACTTCTTGTGAGCGATAAACGTGGAGAGGCTGCTGAACTTGATGTTGCACAGCCGACAGAAGCGGGAGTTGCCGTTCTGGACAGGGGGGGTCACCAAGGTTTTAGAGCCAGTGACGGGGGCTGGGACTGGGTGAGACGCCACTGTTGGGATGGTGCTCTCTGGAAGATGAGTGGACGCCACCTTCTCTCTCAGAACATCAGGTACAGGTGACATTGTCAGGGGGGGAGCTCTTGGTGGGGAGACAGGCAGAGGTGAGGCAGCTAAAGGGGATCCTCCTCCAACTGAGGGGCTGCCGTTCACCAGGGGGGAGACGGGGGAGGCTCTACCGCTCCTGGCCTGTCCGTTCATGCTGTCTTTGTGAACTCTTGAGGCGACCCTGGCCTGGTTGGAGGGGGTGGAGGAGGCGGCTCCATCTCTGGGACTGAGGCTGGGGCTGCGGCTGATTGATCGACCCGCTTGTGCTGGGGTCTCCTGGGGAAGATGAACGGTTACAAGCAGACCATGAGTGGTCTTTAAGTGCTCCACCAGGTCACAGGTAAGGGCTTTGTTGGGACAATATGGGCAGACCGCAAGAGAAGAACTGGCACCTTTAGCCCCAGCTCCTGGAGTGGCTGCCAGGGTGGCGCTCATGTGTGAAGGGGACGTAGCTCCAGAGGCAGGTACAGCAGAGGCGCGGGGGCTGGACGATGCCCCTTGAGCCTGGGCAACCCACTCCGCCGGCAGAGCTTTAGCTTCAACGGGGTGCAGCAGGTCCAAACGCTCCTGCTGAGGCCTGCTTTTAGGGGAAGTTGAGGCGGATCTCTTGAGCCGGTGAAGCTGCTCCAAGGTGTGGGACTGGAGCGTTGTGGCGGGGCAGTAGTAGGTTTTATGGGCCAGGTAGTTCTCGATGCTGTTGAAGCTGATGCTGCAGGCCGTGCACTTGTGGTAGTCGGTTAGAGGCAGAGCCGGGAGGATTCCTCCGCTGCTGCTGCTCATGCCGCTCTGCCGCGGAGTCTCCCTCAGACGAGGCCTCTTGCTCAGATCGATAGGACCATCCCCTTCTGGGCTGGAGCTGCCGGTACCACTGGGAGAGACTTCCTGTTTTACCACCAAGCCTAGAAGAGAGGGAGACGGCGCTGAGGCTGCAGAGGCGGCAGCAGCTGCAGCAGCTTTAGCCAACGCCTCGGTTCTAGCCATGTGAATCTCATACATCTTCTTCCTCTTGCGTGTGCGGATAGGCTGAGGAAGGAAGGCGGCAGCGTTGGTCTTGGCGTGCATGGACCGCTGGTTGGACGGGTCGTGGCGCGATGCGCAGTAGAACCGTTTGTGGACAGTGTAGTTCTCGTGACGACTGAAGCGGATGTTGCACGCTTCGCAGAACGTTTTGTTGGGGTCCTCTTCCACGTCCTCTGCAGAACCACTAACAGGACTTGGGCTGCCTTCACTTGTTCTTCCTCCTCCTCCTCCTCCTCCTTCGCCCTCAGAGGAGGAGGAGACTCCCTCTTTGCCTGCCGAGGATTCGGCCTTCATCTCCAACAACCTCTTGGATTCTGTTGCTCCAGATCCTGCAGGAGGCTCAGAGTCGGTTGGCGAGGCGGAGGCTGCTCTGCTCGACGCCCCAGGCTGAGGTGACGAGCCAGACGGCCCGCTGGAAGGTGTCGGACCTGGGACAGCTGATCCAGAACCAGCGCTTGGGCCATCTCCCTGATGCCTGCTGGAGCAGTACAACCTCTTATGTGCATAGTAGTTGTTGATGTTGTTAAAAGTGATGTCACACTCAAAGCAGGTGGCTCCTTTGTGAGGTGGAGTGCCAGTGGCGGTCGCTGCTGTCGGTCCAGAAGTGAAGAAGGCAGCCGGGTTGTTCTGAACGACTGTCTGGCCGTGTTTCAGCCGGCTGTGGACCATCTCTGACATTTTAGCCAGAATTTCTGATGCCTGGGGCAAGATGGCTGCCTCAGGATTGAACATGTACTGAGGCAGGAATATCGCTCCTCCTGGGACAAGCGGAGCAGGACTAGAACCCGGAGTGGGACTGGTCGGTTCTGCCTTAACTGTTGTGGTGGCTGGACTCTTCGGAGAGTCTGATGTCTGGCAAGAGGAGGAGGCTATTTGCTCTTCTTTAGTCGCTTCACTTGGATCTCCATCAAGCTCCTCTGCACCAGGATTCTCCTCCCCTTCTTCTTTCAGTTCCATCTGCTGCTCCTCGTTCTCAGACTCTGACTGTGGCTCCTCCTTAATCTTTAGGTCTCCTTCAGGAGGACTGTAGTCAGGAGGTGTGGCTGAACCTCCATTAGTGCCTGGGCTGGATGAGTCCAGTTTAGGAACAGAAGCCAGGGGCTCTTTTTCTTGCGGGGTCAGCTGGGGCTGTTCAGTCGAGGAGGGGGTATTCTGGCGAGGAGTGGGACTCCTTTCAGCTGGGACTCTGACCTCCAGGTGGGTCCGCACATGCTGCTGCAGTTGAGCAGGGGAGTCGGAGTTGTGACCACAAACCTGACACTTGAGCACCACACCGGAGTCTCCTGGGCTCAGACCTGATGAGGACAGTAAGAGTTAGTGCCACTTTAGAACCGTACACGGATCATGGTGAGGGCTGGACTTACCGGTGGACAGGGGCAGCTTTGGAAGGCCTGGACCTGGAGAGTAGACCTCGCTGCGGGACCCAGGCTGGCACACCATGTGACTGGTGACCAGGTGGCTGTAGAGGATGTCCCTGGTGGTGGAGACAAAGCCACAGCCGTGACAGACCCCATTCAGAGTATCCGTGTGGACCTTCAGGTGGCGCTCACAGTTTGCTTTGGTGGTGAAGGCGGACAGGCAGATGAGACAGACAAACGGACGCTCCCCTGTGGAAGGAAGGATGGACAGAAAGGAACAGGAAGTTAAACTCTGAGCCCGCCCACCAGATCCAGAACCTCCTTAAATTTGGGCATGAATGCAGCTCTCACCGCTGTGTGTGCGCATGTGGATCTCCAGAGAGCTGGCACTGGGACAGCTCTTGTTGCACTGCGGGAACGGGCAGATGCGCTCGTTGGGGTACGAGTCTTTGGGCTTGTCCTGCGGAGGCGACGAGGCCGCCGCCGGCTGCTTCTGGCGGCTGGCGCAGTAGTACATCAAGTGGGCCTGCAGGTTCCTCTCACTGCGGTACCAGATCCCACAGTCCTTACACGGGAAAATGTCCTCTGGTAACCAGGAAAACACAAACAGCGGAATTCAAGCTACTCCAACATAAAGATGAAAACAACATTCATGAAAAATAACTGGAATATTTCTTGAAGAAACGTTGATACTTGGCACAGCTGTTAGCAATCAGACCATGTGCTGAGGACCATCAGCTACTACTAGGCATGTCACGATTAATTTTGCTGGGCGATTAATTGTCTCAGAAATTATTGCGATAAACGATAATAATGTTTTAAATTTGACAATAATTAGTAATTATTGTCAAATTTAAGAAAAAAAAAGTTAAATTTTTTTGCGTGTAGTACCTTTTGTAGACCACCGGATGGCAGTATAAGACTGTTTGAAGTGAAGGATGGATAGTGAGGGAGCGAGCAGCATCTTTTTAAAAAATGGGAGGGAGATGCTTTGGAGCTTCCCGAGGTCAGCCTGTTAGCTTAGCTTGTAGCTTAGCTTATCAGCTTAGCTGCTTTTAATGATCCAAAAATGCGATTCTGGACGGTTAAAATGGATTTTAAAGAGAAAGGGCGGCGTCAGTGAAGAGCACCGGAGTTGAGTCGTGTCTATAGTAGAAAGCGAGAGACGCGAAGAAACGATAAAGCCGATAAATGAAAACGAGGTTGATAGTTTTGATTAATCATGCGATTAACTGCTTTATTGTTTATCGTGACAGGCCTAGCTACTACCGCACCAAACTGCAGCTCAGCATCTCAGAGCTTCAGTTTGATCCTGTTTGTGTTTTAATTCATTTTAAAGCAAGAGCTCAGCAAACTGTTGTCACTTAAAGTAGAGCAGAAGGTCACTGTCAACTACTTAATAACCATTTTTCTATTGGCAGCCATTTTGTATCCGTTTTAGACGATCAGCTGAGATAACTTTCTGAAAGTTTAATTTAAATCAGGGGTTCATGAAACACTTTTTTAGACATGGTGAGCAGCAGCTCATAGAAAAGTTTCAAACATCTCAGTTCGCAGCAGGAAACAGCTCTGCTTCAGCCTCAGCCAATCAGGAAGCTCGATTTGTTTTAGAGGACAGACACGGGAGAGGAGCAGACTTGAGCTTGTTTAAAACACTCTCTTCTGACTTTCAGAACAGTTTCACACGGGTCTCTCTGCCTTCTGGGACCACTCCTACAGCAAAAACAAGAACGTCTGCAGAAAAAAAGAACGTTTACGTTTTGATATATGATTCATATATCGTAAAAGATGTGAGGGCAGGAAGAGTTTGTTTGCTAACTTCATGTGATTTGCTCATCATGCGACATCTCTGTCAGTTGAAAGCCTTTTTCTTTCTTAAGTTTTCAAGGTTGTTTTGTGAATCGCATCCCCATGGTAACGCAAAACGCCATGAAACGTAATAACGCACATCTTGTGGTCGAGCCGGTCGTTTTGATCTATAATTTGTGTGTGTGAGGGATTCTTCTGCTAAGGCTCTATTACCGTTGACAGAAACGTAAAATAGTTTTAATTTACATGACACCCGTTCAGAGGAGGGTAGTATTATGTATATACATAGTTGTATATGTAATTTTCTAACCAGAACAACCAGTTTACAGCTGGATATTTACAACAAGGGGTCAGAACTGTGGTGTGCGTGCACAGCCAACAGAAACTGTCTGGAGCTGGAGGAAAGAATAAATGTGTTTCCTGTTGAAGAGTGACACTGCCATCTGGTGGAAACAAAAAATTGCAGTTTTAAACAGTTTGCACCAGGATGTGCTGCATGTTGGACTTCAGTTACATTAAGTCTTCTTGTCTTTACAGTTCCCTCCAATGATCCAGACCTTCCAGTAATCTCAGATCAGCTGTCTTTCTGGGTTTTTCCTCTCAGTTTCTTGTTTGACCTCTGACCTCTGGCTCCTAAACTCAGAGGATGACATGGAGTTGTGTCGTCAGAACAAACTGAACCCAGTTTAGATTTGTGTGTTCCAGAGACTCAGTCTGGTTCTGGTTCTGCTGTTGGACCCATGAAAACACCAAAGATCAAACAGACCTGATGCATGCTCAATAATCCAGATAGATTAATATAACAGAGTTAAATCAGGTCCTCTGGACAGATTATTCTTTGTTGAAACATTTCGTATTTTATCCAAAAGACTTCTTCAGTCTGAGGAGCTGCAACAAACTCAGTCTTATAAGCAGCACCTTCTCATAGTGGACCAACCAGTTTGTTGGTGACGTCCAGAACTAGGTGTTCATGTGAAAAAGGAGGACCAGCTGCCTAACAAGTGATCGTTAGCGCCCTGATGGTTGCTTGATATTCACAGGGGTGAGTGATACTAGCAAAAACAGCATTGTAAGAGGTGGACAGTTGAACACGGAGGCCCCCACCCCTGTTTAACGATGGACAGGTTCTTTTCACAAAGATGGCCTCCTTTACTCCTCTCTCAAACCTTCGTTCCTCTCTATCAAGGATGTGAACATCTTCATCCCTGAAAGAGTGACCTCTGACCTGGAGATGAGTGTAGACCGCAGAGTCCTGGCCTGATGATGTTGATCTTCTGTGCTGGGCCAGTGGCTTTTGTCCAGTGGCTGTTTAGTTTCCCCGATGTAAGACTGATCACCCTCCTGACACTGAACATCTTACACAACATTGCTCTGTTTGTGCCGGGAGACTGGATCTTTGGGATGGACCAGTCTTTGCCGTAATGTATTTTGGGGTTTGAAAGTCACTGGAACGTCAAATTTAGAAAATAAATGTCTCAGATTCTCTGAAACTCCTGCAACACTGGTCTGTGTTCCTCCTTTTCACCGGATGGCTGACTGGAGTCCTGTTTGGGTTTCTTATCTGCTTTCAGGAAGGCCCAGTTAGGATATCCACGTTGCTCCAGGGCCTGCCTTTTGTGGGATTTCTTCTTCTTCCTGGCAAAATCGATGAACTTCAGTATCTGGAGGAATAGAAATGTGCCTGTGTTTTGGCACTGACAGAAACTTGGCTCAAGAATTACAACTTGCAATTGGACTTGGAGATTGAAGGCTTTGGTGAGCCCATTTGATTGGACAGAGACCCCACAAGGACAGGTAAATCACTCGGTGGAGGACTGTGCCTTTATGTGAATAAAAAGCAGTGCAACACTATTGTCATCAAGGAGACGATGTGTACTCCAGACATTGAACTTCTGTCGGTGGCTCTTTGCCCGTTTTATCTGCCACGGGAATTCCTGCAGCTTTTCATCACACGAGTTTACATTCACCCTAAGGCTAACGCAGAGCTAGCCACTCAGGCTATGCTAAAGACCGTGCAGCAGTTTCAGAGGATCTCCCGGGACGTTCCTAACCTTATCATGGGGTATTTAAACCACTGCAGACTCGAGAAGTCACTTGGTAATTTTTATCAATATGTGGCACTAACGATCAGTTGTTGGGCTGATGGTCCTCCTTTTACACGTGAACAGCTAGTTCTGGATGTCACCAGCAAACTGGTTAAACACTATGAGAAGGTGCCGTTTATAAGACTGAGTTTGTTGCAGCGCCTCAGACTGAAGAAGTCTTCTGGATAAAAGACGAAACGTTTCAACAAAGAAGAATCCGTCCAGAGGACCTGACTCAACCTTGTTAGACTAAGATCAAACTGTTGGACAGGAAACACACTTTTAGCTCCAACAGAGCTGTTGGCTGAAGGAAGAAGCAGCTCTCAGGTTCTGGTTCTGGTCTTGGTCACAGTCAGGGTCAAAGACTGAAACAGAGAAAAATCAGCCAACAGAAACTCTGAAAGTGTGAAGACCTGCTGGTCCAGAACTTCTTTATCAGAACGTCTGGCTTGATAGAAGGGAAATGAAAAGAAACAAGAACTGGATCAGGACTTCTAAACTGGACTGCAATTCTCGTTTGAAATATATTAAAGCTAATTTTAAACATTCATAACTTAAACAAACAAAAAACACAACGTCACGTCTCCGACACTCACTGTTAACTACAGCCGTGGCCAAGATGGCCGCCATGCCGGCCTGCTGAGGCAGCAGCTGGATGTCTGAGTGCAGCGCCGCCGGGTACAGAGGCTCCTCCTTCACCGCCGGCTGCGTCTGAGAAACCAGGCTGAGGGGAGGAGAGAGCTGGGATGTCGGCGAGGAGGAGGAGGAGGAGGAGGGAGGAGGAGGAGGAGGAGGGGGGGACAGAGAAGCCAGGAGCTTCTCACCTGCCGGGATCTCCCTGCTCACCTGACAGAACAGCTCCTCACCTGGAGACAAACAGTTTCTGGGAGTTACTGAGAGCTGGACTCAGGTGAGGCGATGGGGGCGGGGCTTCCTGTGGAAACTCACCTCGACTGTAGACGGAGCAGTTGGCTGCTGAGGGGTCAGAGGTCAGGGGGAGGAGACTGATCCACGAGTCTGGACGTTCACAGATCAGAGACAACCTCGACTTCTGGGAAAAAACAAAACAAAATCATTAAAAACTGTTTAAGATCATTTAATCAAACAGCTGTTTTTATAAAATACAAAACAGAAACATTCATCTCTAAAACTTATTAAGAAATAACAATATGAGTAATTTATTTTTGAGATTTCAAGTTATAATAATAGTTTTGAACTCTACTGCTTCATTTTTGACATTGTTACAACTTTATTTGGACATTGATGCAGTTTATGTTTTATTTTGGCAGTTTAATCAAACAGCTGTTTTTTAGGGACACGTTGCAGCTGCGACTGCAGAGATTAACAGAAGAGACCGTGGAGCTGCCGATAATCCCAGAGGAGCAGAGGCCGACGTCAGCCAGAGGTAAACACTCCTGGAGGAGCTGCCAGCCAGAAGCAGCACGATTACAGCTCCAGAAGGAAATGAGAGCAGCGCGAGCTGAACAAAGCAGCTGAGAAAATAGAGGAGAAGAGGAGGACTGAGAGAGGAAGAGGATCTGATGAGATGGGCATTCAGTCAGCAGCTGTAATAAGATCAAGAGTGGATAGACGAGACAATGCCCGGCAGCAGGCAGGTCGTGTGCAGGTATGAGAGAAACACAAATACTTAAAAAATGTGTCGTTAAATTCAAACACAGAACGATCCTCCCGAGGATCATTTTACACGGCCGGCAGCGTTCATCAATAACGGAAAAAAAATTTGATGGAAGACGCAAACACGCCTCAAACCTTCACTCAAAACCTCCGTCCTCCGTCCAAAATCGCCCCAAAGTGCCTCACTGCGCAAGAAACCAGAACCAGAGAAACGTTTGTGTTTTTACTGTGAGCAAACGACAAGACGTCGATGGGACGTTTGAATTTTCTGCTCATTTTCTACAGAATTTCCTTTAAAGTTTCTGTTTGTCTCTCTGGAAGCTGATGACAAACAATCTGAAGAGTTAGTTACAAACAAATAAAAACATCTTAGGTCGAAGCTGCTGCTACATCCTGAGCAGTGATTTCATTCCAGGAGAGCGACCCCCCCCCCCAACCACCACAGTGACCATCAACAGATAAAAACAGGGAAACACTTGAAGCGACTTTAATCCACAGATTCATCTGAAACGTCCATACCTGGATAACCTGGTTTATCTGCACAATAATGTGATAAACAAATAAACAAGTAAACAGATAAACAAACAAAGAGATAAACAGAAAAAACAAGATAAGCACATAAACAAACAAATAAACAGATAAACAAATAAACAGACAAACAGATAAAGAGACAAACAAATATATAGGTGAACAGATACACAAATAAACAGGTAAACGGATAAAGAGACAAACAAATACACAGGTAAACAGATAAACAAACAAACAGCTAAACAGAAAAACCAACAGATAAGCACACGAACAGATAAACAAATATACAGGTAAACAGATAAACAAACAGGTAAA